AAATGGCCCGTGAACATTGTAAATACATTTGAATTTAGTACTAGTTTTAGTGTTCTCGATTCATGGTAATAAAGCGAAAGGGTATCAAGCGATGTCAATGTTTTTATAGCATTTCAACAGGTCGGTAGTTAATTTCACCCCCAAATTTGTCACTTTCTCAATTTATCTTTTTGTGCCGAAGACAGGTTAGGCCCTGTTTGGTGATGTTTGGGCCATAACTGTTTTTTTTACCGATCGCATAGAATAGTCCTAATTCAGCGCGCATGAGTTCATGAATCTTCTGTTACCACCAATTTGAGCAGAAAAGACATAAAGAAGGCTGAAATTGTGTTAATATAAGCCGAACATGTGCAAATGAACAGATCTTAAGGATTGATACCGACGAAAACTGATACATAAAGTGTATTAAAGTTCACACGGCAACCAGGTGGACAATCAGACATAGTTTGATGCTACTCTGGTTTGCAGATTTAATGAATGTAACCGAAGAAGTTACAATTCATAGACCCAACATTTCGACACTCCTGTCTAGTGCCTTCATCATGGGTGATCTAAACGTTGCAACAAGAGATCCTTTTATATGATCACTAATTAGCGGCCTTTTTTCTGACGAGGTGTAAATAGGCGTCAGGAAGCAAACCGCCATCGTAACGATTTAAAGGAGCGTGGGCGGAGTTAATATGCCAAGCCTCCAAACAAAGGCGCTGGTGGTAACGCCGATTAGTGGTCATAATTTTAGAATTATCCCACCCAATTGTATGGTTAGTTAGGCATGTATGCTTCGATAAAGCTGAATTTTCCTTTTTGCAAAGGAAAACCACTTTTTGGTGCTCTTTTAACCGTGTACCAAACTGACATTTGGTCTGTCCGATGTATTCGTTGTCACAGTCATTGCAAGGAATAGAATCTTTCGTGATAGGATCCTTAGGTTTGGCGAAAGTATGCCCCAAAGATCAAATTTAGATCACCCCTGAGTTTAGAGTTTAGATCACCTCTGATGAAGGCACTAGACAGGAGTGTCGAAACGTTGGGTCTATGAATTGTGACTTCCTCGGTTATATTCATTAAATCTGCAAACCAGAGTAGCATCAAACTATGTCTGATACATACAGATTACAAAAATAATTTTTCTCTACTGCCAATTTCTAGCTACCATCTTCTAGGGGACAGTTATGGAAACGCAGGAACTGTTCTTATATTCGAAGGTAGTTTGACAAAATGAAGAGAAAAGGACGAACGAAGAAAGAAAAAATACTATTTCAGCCCACAGGAACCACGCAATATTTATCATAGGGGCGCCTAGAACAAGTTATCAGCTTCACAAGGGAACAAAACAGTAAGACAAATATACATGCGTTTTCCCTTTATGGAGAGCCGCATGAGCGTTGTTAATGTTTCCAACATGCCAAGGGACAAAGACACTTTAAGGGTACATTTGCTACGTGTCGCATGATTGTGTTTTTTAGCTTTTGACTTCAAAATGACACGCGGAAAGTTTACTAAGTGCTCAAAGTGATCTGAAATTAAAAATGGTTATTCTCTGGTCTGGGATCGTAAGCTGCTGTATCCGTCTTCGTCCTCGTCTAGCACTCGCAATAACAATCCAACATGTCCTCCCGTGCATTTTTATGAACGAACAGCCTGTTTCAAGCATTATATGCCCGGAAATGTAAGAGATATTTCAATCGAGCAAAGTGAAAGTTGTCTCATCATCTGCATAATAAACAAAATAATGTTCCCTCGCCATTACTCTGACGACTAGAGTGACATTTATACTGTTACTACTTTGCAGGATGTTGGATGATTTTGGTATTTCATGTATACTATTATTGCAGTTGATCAATTGATCCACTCTTCTTCCTTCCATATCATTCCTTGTCTTCATGGAAATTTTCTTCTTTTCAAGGCACATCGTGATTTTATAAAAACTTAGATATGAGGCAGAGGAAAGCCTTAACTTCTGATAATCCATCTAAACATGTCATGGAAAAATTGGGAAAACTCTCCCAGGTCACAAGACGTTTGAAGATCCGCAGTGAGGTTGGTAACTGTACTTGTTGTCATATTCATTTCATGTTGCGGACTAGCAATCCATAACATAATCAGCGTCTACTTAAATCTTTGTGTTCCTTCTAAACATAGAATACTGGCATTTCGTTTGTTAAATTTGGCCAATTCTACACAAAATTCTCTCGAGTACGCATTCCTTTAACATGACATAAAGAGAGAACCAAAAGCTTTCCTTTTCCGTAGGAGGAAACTAAAACTACGTCCCTTCCACGTTCAGCCAGAGCAACAAACTGCGTGAAGAATTCCATCTAAAAAATGAAGACCACAAAATAGGTAATGAACGAAACACGACCAATGGAGTTTGTTATAGTGGTTTGATTCTAACCCCAATTGTGGTACGAAAAATAAGTCTAGAAATAAAACTCTAGGCCACAGAAGGATTTCATAGGTATGCTTCGTATTAAATTTAATGAGGTGGACGCGGATCAAAGAATAGGTGAAGAGGGAATCAATAGGTTTGCTCATTTTAAAGGAAAATACACTCAAAATTACAGTTCAGAGCGGATAAGAGCTGGTCAGGGAAATGGGATGGCTCTATTACCGATTTCTGAATGACTTAAAACAGCATTTTAACACTTCATAATGTTTTTTGCCGTCTCGCGTCACCCTTATCCATTATTACACTACACATAAAGCCGTCTTCTTCTGCAGTCTTGTGATCAAAAAGCCTTTATCTAGCCTTATATGCCCGTTAAATGTAGGGGGATATTATAATTAGGCAAAGTGAAAGTTGTCCAATTTCTCTTATTCTCTGGCGACGTAACTGACATTTCTACCGTAGTCACTCAACAGAGTGGTAAGTCATTTAGTTTTTAATATAGGCCACGAATCCATTTTAATCAACTATCACTTTGTTTCGCCCCATATTCCTTGTCACCGAAGCAATTCGTTATTTTCACAGTACAGCGTGATATTATGCAAACTTTGACCTAGGGCAGTGGATCGTCCTTGGGCAATCCGTCAACTTAAGAAAAATGGTAGATGTATTCTTGTTCCGAAAATATTAAACCAATTTTGAAATACTAAGTGACGACTGTAAATATATGAAAATCATATATCTTAAGTGCAGTTTAAGAAATGAATTTGAAAGCGATCTTCGCAATAATGAACGCTACTTAGAGGGTCTCCGATAGGGTTCTTGAATCCTGCGATCCCGACTAAAATTTTCTCTCAATCCCGTAATCCCGATGGTTTATACCGGTGAATCCCGATCCCGTTCATAATTTTTTTTCTCAGTCCAATACCTCAACTTGAAAGGGCCTACTAGCTAAGTGGTATTCATAACTGCGAGGATCGCTTTCATATTTGTTTCTTTCACCGCGGTTCACATTTATATGATTTTCATATATTTGCAGTCATTTATTCACCTTTTGGAGGGTTTATTTAAAACCAACATAATGACCGGGTCCCAGTTGGCATGTTAGCTTAGTTGGTAGAGCGTTACATCGGTATCGCAAAGGTGATGGCTTCAAATCCCGTACGGGCCTGAATCTTTTTCAGGTCTTATTTTTACTACTAGTTATGTAATATTCATAACTACGAGGATCGCTTTCATAATCATTTCTTCAACCGCAGTTCATATGCATATGATTTTTATATATTTGCAGTCATTAAAGGGGCCTTTTCGGTGGGTGATGATATTCTAAACTAGTATTGATCCGTTAAAGTCTTTGCTCGCCGTCAAGCGTAAGTTTTTTTCACCAAAACGATGTTACTGTTCATTTTAGAAGTTTTAGAAGTTTTGCACGAATAACGTACGCAAGTCACAGTCACGACTTCCTTCTGTTTAACTTCGATCACGGAAAACCGTATTAGCGGAGACAGGTCAGTATCATAGAAATGAATGGCAATGTCAACAAATGCATAAAAACGAAAGGTGGCGGCAATCCCATTGTTCCATAACAAGAAAAATTAACTAAACAAAATTCTGGACTCAGAAGGCTTTGTAAATCTTTCTCAATGCATTAAAAAATTCAGCGGTTTGCTTTAGCGAAGTTAAGTTAGAATTTGTCTGCGCATCACAAACATAAACAACGTGTAACAAACTGGTTGATAGAGCTCTGTCCTAGTGGCCATTCCATCCATATTTCCAGCACTAATAGTCGGCCCAGCAAAGACATCTACTTCGCTGGAGTTTTTCCTCCAAAGCAGGATCGGTGGCTTTTTGGATCAGCATATAAAATGCCAGTTTTATATGAAACGATACTTGGGCTCAGTGAAATGTATGAAACATCACGACGAATCACGCGCACCCTAATCAAGGAAAGTTAATGCTATAGCTACTGTTTTAACTTTCCTGATTTCACTTCACTTAGGAGCCCTACGTCAACAATGTTTCGTGCTAATTATATCGGCCGGATAAGATAACTTTTGCGCCGAAAAAATAGATTTCTCGAAAATGTAACCAACACTTCCTCCTGAGAAGTTCGGAGAAGAGAAAGCAAAAAATTGAAATTAATATGCTTAATCTTAGGTTACCCTTTCTTTAATTACACAATGAAGTTTCTGTACTTATGCTATTTGTTTATCCATCTAATAGTCTCTAAGGTCTGTTTCCTTCGAGATATTCTTATCATTCACCAGTCGTGGTCTTCTTTCCTGTAACAAACGTAAAAAAAAAATATATATATATATATAACTTATCTAAAGCAAATACATCTCATATAGAGCAAATACAATTATACCAGGCGTAATATGTACGCACATGTACACTTGTATCTGATTGGTAGATAGGCGCTTTCGAGATTCTTTATTTCACACCTAACAGTGAAAGTCAATTGTTACCCTCAGAAAAAAAACAAAAGGTATAATACTAGCCTTGATCTTCAAGGTGACAAAGGATCCCCGCCAACAGTCAGCGACCAGTAAACCATAGCCTCATTCACACCTGATTTAACCTTACTGTGTGAAGTATCTTTTCGGACTGAGTCTTACCTTGGCGCGCCAAACTCAAACCTCACGTCATCTCCAATCAGCGTAAACGAAGCCCACCCAGACACTTTGGTAAGGCCGTTTTTTCTCATCCACTTCATGGCCTGATGAAGGGATTCACTGGCGCTTTCTCCCTTGATAATGTGTTTGTAGAACTGACTCATCAGCTTCTCTGTTGCTGAGTCTGGAATGGCCCACAGCGCAACCAACACTGAGCGAGCACCGGATCCCAAGAACGCACGGGCAATTCCTATAATTCCCTCAGCTCTTATCTCTCCACTTCCACTGTGACAGCAGCTAAGTACCACCAGTTTGGCTCTGACTTTGACTCGTGAGACATCAGCCATCGTCAACATGTAAGCTTCTCTTGGTGGGATAGGGTTTCGACTGTTGACAGTAGGAATGGGGGAGAGGGCAATTTCTCCCCTTTCGGCGTTACCATGGGCAGCAAAATGTATTAGGCTCACTGAACTTATCCGCTCAAGTACCGCCTGCTTCGTTGCTTCCTCTTCTACCAGGGGGGGAACGCCCACCAGTCGTCCAACCATCTCCGCTTCCTTTCTTGCACATGGCAATGGCGGCAGCCAATTAACTTTGGGATTGCCTATTATCAAGGCACCAGTGTTGCTGTGATAGTCCTCTGGACTATCTTGAATGATCTTGAGTGTCGTCAAAGAAGGAATGACACGGATCCTATGAGTCTCCGACAGGTATTCGGCTCCCTCCTTTTCACTCAGAGCTGCAAAGGGAACTTTGTACAAAATGCGGTCAGGAACAATAATCACTTCAGGCTCCTCAAGCAAATCATAAACGGGAGCAATAAACATTTTGTAACACAAAGATAGACTTGAAATGACTTCGTCGTCTTTGTCCTCCTCCACGAGTCGCAATCTTGGTGAGCTCTTTTGCTCAGGGGAGAGAGGTTGCAATTCAACCATATTTAAAGACCGATCTTCACAATCTTCAATGGGCAAAATACCAAGAGTCCGGAAATTATCATTCAAAAGATGACTCAAAGGCAAATCTTTAGGCAACCCAGCCTGAATTAGATTCTCTTCTAGTGATATTCTTTTATAGTGAAACACTCCACTTGGTTTTAAGATCCACAAATGCAGATGATTGTGAAAATAAGAAATGTACAGACAAGTACAGTTATTTTTCTTAATAAAAATGTTTTCAATGCCAAACCAAGATTGTGGATTGGCAGAGATGTGCGTTTCAACCGAGTACTTCTCTTTCATCAAGTCTGATAGGCCTCTAGCTCGACCCAACTCCTCAACATAAAGAGCATCCCGAGCATTTCCGGTGGCACAAAGCAAACTACAAAGCAGCTTGTAGGGAAATATTCCTGAGTTCTCCAGAAATGATGTTTTGAACTGATCATTGGCGCCCAAGAAATCTCTCAGCTCCTCATACTTTCCAATGCTCAGATGAAGACACGAAAGGGAGTCTTTGATTTTATTTTGAAATAAATACAAAATAGCGTACTCTTGAAGGATTTGGAACTCTTTTCTTCTATTTCCAATATCTCTGGATATGGATAAAGCTTTCTCCAAGCATACCTCCGAAGTTTTATAATCTCCAACAGTTCTAGACACAACTCCAAGCTTTGCAAGAACTGCTGCTTCCCCAACCTTATCACCAATTTCAGTTCTGATGACAAGCGATTTTTCAAGATACTCTTTAGCCTTGTCGTACTGCCCGAAAGACCAAAACACATTGACTAGGTTTCCGTAGTAAGATGCTTCTCCTTTTCTGTCGCCAATTTTAGTTGCGATTACAAGCGCTTTTTGGAGATACTCTTCAGCCTTGTCAGATTGTCCGAGCGACTGAAACATAGTGCCTAGACTTTCATAACATAATGCTTCACCTTTTATGTCGGCAATTTCAGATTTGATGACAAGCGCCTTTTGGAGATACTTTTTAGCCTTTTCGTACTGCCCGAGCACCTGAAACACATTACTAAGATTTCTGTGGTCAGTTGCCTCTCCTTTTCTGTCGCCAATTTCAGAATTGATGACAAGCGCTTTTTGGAGATACTCTATGGCCGTGTCGTACTGCCCGAGAGATTCGAGCACAGCACCAAGATTTCCGTAGTCAGCTGCCTCTCCTTTTCTGTCGCCAATTTCAGTTCTGATGACAAGCGCTTTTTGAAGATACTCTTTAGCCTGGTGGTTTTGCCCGAGCAAGTGAAACAGAGCACCTAGGTTTCCATAACATGATGCTTCTCCTTGTCTATCGTCAATTTCAGTTCTGATAACAAGCGCTTTTTGGAGATACTCTTTAGCCTTGTCGTATTGCCCGAGAGACTCAAACACAGAACCAAGATTTCCGTAGTCAGTTGCCTCTCCTTTTCTGTCGCCAATTTCAGTTCTGATAAGAAGTGCTTTTTGATGATACTCTTTAGCCTTTTCATATTGCCCGAGCGAGTGAAACAGAGCACCTAGGTTTCCGTAACATGAAGCTTCTCCTTTTCTATCGCCAATTTCAGATTTGATGACAAGCGCTTCTTGGAGATACTCTTTAGCCTTGCCGTATTGCCCAAGCGACTGAAACATAGCACCAAGATTTACGTAGTCACTTGCCTGTCCTTCTCTGTCGCCAATTTCAGTTCTGATGAGAAGTGCTTTTTGGAGATATTCTTTAGCCTTGTTGTATTGCCCGAGCGAGTAAAACAGGGGACCTAGGTTTCCATAACATGATGCTTCTCCTTTTCTATCGCCAATTTCAGATTTGATGAGAAGCTCCTGTTGGAGATAAAGTTTAGCCTTGTCATATTGCCCGAGCGAATGAAACACAGTTCCTAAATTTCCGTAGTCAGTTGCCTCTCCTTTTCTGTCGCCAATCTCAGTTCTGATGACAAGCGCTTTTTGGAGATACTCTTTAGCGTGGTCGTTTTGCCCGAGCGAGTGAAACAGAGCACCTAGGTTTCCATAACATGATGCTTCTCTTTGTCTATCGCCAATTTCAGTTCCGATGAGAAGCGCTTTTTGGAGATACTCTTTAGCCTTGTCGTATTGCCCTAGCGACTGAAACACAGCACCCAGACTTCCGTAGTCAGTTGCCTCTCCTTTTCTATCGCCAATTTCAGTTCTGATGAGAAGCGCTTTTTGGAGATACTCTTTAGCCTTGTTGTATTGCCCGAGCGAATGAAACAGAGGACCTAGGTTTCCATAACATAACGCTTCTCCTTTTTTATTGCCAATTTCAGAATTGATGAGAAGCGCTTTTTGGAGATAAACTTTAGCCTTGTCGTATTGCCCGAGCGAGTGAAACACAGTACCTAGATCTCTGTAGCCATTTGCCTCTCCTTCTCTGTCACCAATTTCAGTTCTGATAACGAGCGCTTTTTGGAGATACTCTTTAGCCTTGTCGTATTGCGCAAGCGAGAAAAGCGCAGTACCTAGGTTTCCGAAATCAGCTGCTTCGCCTTTTCTGTCGCCAATTTCAGTTCTGATGACAAGCGCATTTTCATGATACTCTTTAGCCTTGTCGTATTGTCCGAGCGACTGAAACACAGTACCTAGGTTTCCGTAGTCAGCTGCCTCGCCTTTTCTGTCGCCAATTTCAGTGCTGATGAGAAGCGCTTTTTGCAGATAATCTTTAGCCTTGTCGTATTGCCCGAGTGACTGAAACACAGCACCCAGATTTCCGTAGTCAGTTGCCTCTCCTTTTCTATCCCCAGTTTCAGTTCTGATAACGAGCGCTTTTTGGAGATAGTCTTTAGCCTTGTCGTATTGCGCATGCGAGTAAAGCACAGCACCTAGATTTCCGTAGTCAGTTGCCTCTCCTTTTCTATCGCCAATTTCAATTCTGATGACAAGCGCTTTTTGGAGATACTTTATGGCCGTGTCGTACTGCCCGAGAGACTCAAACACAGTTCCTAGGTTACCATAACATGATGCTTCTCCTCTTCTGTCGCCAATTTTAGATTTGATGGCGAGCGCTTTTTGGAGATACTCTACAGCCTTGTCGTATTGCCCGAGCGACTGAAACACAGTTCCAAGATTTCCGTAGTCAGTTGCCTCTCCTTTTCTGTCGCCAATTTCAGTTCTGATGACAAGCGCTTTTTGAAGATACTCTTTAGCCTGGTCGTTTTGCCCGAGCGAGTGAAACAGAGAACCTAGGTTTCCATAACATGATGCTTCTCCTTGTCTATCGTCAATCTTAGTTCTGATGACAAGCGCTTTTTGGAGATGCTCTTTAGCCTTGTCATATTTCCCTAAAGACTTAAACACAGTACCAAGATTTTCGTAGTTAGTTGCCTCTCCTTCTCTGTCGCCAATTTCAGTTCTGATGAAAAGCGCTTTTTGGAGATACTCTGCAGTCTTGTCATATTGCCCGAGGGAGTGAAACAGAGCACCTAGGTTTCCATAACATAATGCTTCGCCTTTTCTGTCGCCAATTTCAGTTCTGATGACAAGCACTTTTTGAAGATACTCTGCAGTCTTGTCGTATTGCTCGAGGGAGTGAAACAGAGCACCTAGGTTTCCATAACATAATGCTTCGCCTTTTTCTGTCACCAATTTCAGATTTGATGACAAGCGCTTTTTGGAGATACTCTTTAGCCTTGTCGTATTGCCCTAGCGACTGAAACACAATACCTAGATTTCCGTAGTCAGTTGCTTCTCCTTCTCTGTCGCCAATTTCAGAATTGATGACAAGCGCTTTTTGGAGGTACTCTATGGCCGTGTCGTACTGCCCGAGAGACTGAAACACAGCACCAAGATTTCCGTAGTCAGTTGCCTCTCCTTCTCTATCTCCAATTTCAGTTCTGATGAGAAGCGCTTTTTGGAGATACTCTTTAGTCTTGTCGTATTGCCCGAGGGAGTTAAACAGAGCACCTAGGTTTCCGTAACATAATGCTTCTCCTTTTCTATCGCCAATTTCAGATTTGATAACAAGCGCTTTTTGGAGACACTCTCTAGCCTTGTCGTATTGCCCTAGCAACTGAAACACAGTACCTAGATTTCCGTAGTCAGCTGCCTCTCCTTCTCTGTCGCCAATTTCAGTTCTGATGAGAAGAGCTTTTTGGAGATACTCTTTAGCCTTGTTGCATTCCCCAAGCGACTGAAGCAACGCTCCTAGATTTCCGTAACAAGATGCTTCTCCTCTCCTGTCGCCAATTTCGGTTCTTATGGCAAGGGCTCTCTCAACATACTCCCTCGCTTTTAGGTTCTTGTCAAGTTTATGAAACATGTATCCGAATCTTGTGCAGGCGCTTGCTTCTCCAATTTTTTCACCGGTTTGTCTCTTTATATTAACTGCTTTTTCATAAAGTTGTTTGGCATCTGTAAACCTGTTCTGACTCTCAACAATCTCTGCTAGAGCCATGCTCACATTTCCTTCATTTACTAAGTCACCAGACTCGCTGTATAAGACAAGCAGTTTCCTGCCGTATCCTTCCGCACTTATGTAGTCAGAGATACGACGATAAGCTCCGAAAAGAAGTAAATTGAAGGCGTTGTAAAATTGTAGCAGTAGTAAATTAAATTGGTCTTTGCTGTTTTGATCGGTGTTATTTAGCAGAATCAAACATTCGCTACATATCTCAATGGCTTTCTGAGTGCGATCTGAGTTGAGCAGGAACAGAGCAACTAGAAAGGCAATGCTCATGAAAGCTATCATGGCTTCTGCTGTTAAGTTTCCATTGCCATCCCCTCCTGTTATTAGGAAAACGTTAGTTTTAGTAACACAAGTTGACGGAATGACTCGATAATCTGGATTCATAATGAGTCACTACAAACAGGAACCCATATGCGAGGTTGCAAAAACGGCCTGAGTCGATTACACGTGGAAACTTTTTGTAACGAGCTGAAAGTGTTAAAACTCATAATATCGACTTAAAAAAAAAAATAAATGAAGAAGAGGGGTGGATAAGTACAACTGGAGCACATCAACGGATCCCATTTGGTAAGACATTTCAAATTAGTTTGACCTGCACTATTTTTTTTAAAACGGACTGTGAGACTTTCACGCTGTAAACGTCAACTGTTATCCAATGATGTTTGATCTAGCTGTTTCGTTTGTTCATCTTTTCAAGTAAAAAAAAATAGACTCTCGCTTGAGTTTGACCAATGGTCGTGTGTCGGGGGTTGCGCCATCAATTAGGAAGTTTTGAAAGGTCGCTCGTTTCTTAAAAAAAAAAAAACAAACAAGAAGGATTGATAAACCTTTAATTACAACCTTCTGGGAACATTTGAAAATGTTGTTCTCGCAGTAATCACCAAATAATGAGCTTTCTTAACTGAAGTATATGGCTGAAAACGAATCCATTCGTAACTGATGAGGATGATTGCTAAGATTTGTGATAACAATGGTTTGACAAACTCGGTTTGTCACTTTTCATTTTACTTTTAAAAGTTTCTATAAACAACATTAATCAATGGGATAAGTTTCTAAAGAAACTTTGGTGGGGTATTACAAAATAATTTAGCTTTACCAACTGAGTTGACAATGTAACTTAGCCATCGTAATTAGCTGTTGAAGCTGATGTTTCGAGCGTTAGCCCTTCATTAGAGCATTTGATAATCTTGGGGAATCAATGATGTTGTATTGCCAGTATTCCGGAAAGAAACCACCAAGGAGTGGTCTGCAGTATTAACATAAGGCTTCCTTTTCCATCTGGATTTGTACTGGCCGTCAGAGCGTATTTACAATGGAGCCTCTTGGGATCAAGCCACATGCATTCGAGTTTAAAGCGTTTTGATTCTTAAGCTAACAAGAAAGATAACCTTTTACAACAACCATCTGGAAGATTTCCTGACATTCTGCAATATGGCATGCAACATTTGAAAATATTGTTGTAGCAGGCTATTACCACGTAACGAGCTTACTTATCAGGTGAATGTCACCGAAAACGAATTTATTCTTAGCCGATGAGAATGATGAGTATGTGAGTCCACAAAGCTTTGACGAAGTTCGGCTTCGCAACGATTAATTTCACTCCAGTGGCAAATTTTTGCACAACATGACAAATTTAAGAAAGTTTCAGTTTCTCTGAGATAATTTAAATATCTCTCTTTGTGAGCGCGCAGCGTCATGACTTATCTTCGTAGGCGAGACTCTGGCGCTTAGACAGACAAAAAAAAAAAAAAAAAGATTACGGCCTTTAGAAAATATTTACCGTAGAACCCACCGCTAGTAACCAAAGATTTAACTGAAGGGTATCTCGACCATGAAACGCTTGTGTACAAGTAGAAACGGAAATTAAATTCGAATCTACCGCGATCTCAGAATTTTTCGTTGAACTCTACTAAAACAAAGTCAAGTTAATAGCTAGTGCAGATCATAGCCACTGGAAAACCACGTTATGAACCACCACGGACTTCCTTCAGCGAGGGACAGTCCACAACATAAATAGAGGTCTGAAATTAGTTTTATGATCATCAATTTCTCAAATTGAACGATACTCAATAATCTTAGTTAATGAGGATAGATTATATGGTATAAAGACACCGAGATTTGAAAAAGTCGCTGTAGAACGAATTTATTTCACTGTGTTGGCGATTCAATCAACCGCTTCAATGAAGGACTAACGCTCGAAACCTGACGAGACAACTACATATTGTAAACGCAAGGATCTAAAAAGAAGTTACTGTGCTTTGCCATAAGAGTCCTACCTCTCTACAGTTACTAAAAAACTAAAGCTGATAAAAACCGAGTGACTAGAAAAGATTTTTAATCACACTTACCAAGATGTTGACAATGTGGCTTATGCTTTGAAACTGAAACAACAAAAATTATGAATTACACTCGTGACTTTCTCAACCTTCCGAACTTCCGCTGTCACAGTGTTTTAGGAATCCAGATCACTTTTGTTTTAGGTTATTCCCTTCCCCCCTCTGGGCTGATGGAAATAAAAAGAAAAAGTTTTAATTGTATAATTTTTTTGTGTTCGTATGCCCGTCTACTGCGTCCTATTTGAGTTGAAATTTTCAACAGTTAGTGGTCATATGGTAAAATACTTATTGACTGCGTTTGGTGGGGCTAGATGGGAAAATATTTGGCTCTTGGTCATGACCCCGAGCCAAATATTTTCCCGCCCGGCCCAACCACTTAATCAATAAGTACACAGTGTTTCGGTTTTGTACATCACACTTTTATGAATATGATATAATTGAACGTAAAAAATTAAAACTATTATTCTTTTTTTTAATAGGGAATGTCAGGCCTTAGTGTTGACCTCTTTAAAAAGTTCGATTTTCACCACAAGATCGATCACAGTACAACCCAAGTTTCTTTCTTTAAACGGTAAGCTATCTGTGCGCGACAATCGACTCCTTGTCTTCCTGAACTTTTCACTTTCTAGCGGGTGTGATTTGCATGATCGAAGCCAAAAATGCTAAAAAAGTGACTGCATTTCGATTTGGCACGTTACAATTTTATAACTAATGATGGGTTTGGGCATCCAAAAATGAATCATTTTACCCTGTTCTTTGGCTGCATTACCAAACTTTCTTGGGTAATCTAACTCCGTCGTGAAAAGTTTATCTTTGTGATGCACAATCGAGTGATTATACTTCACATCTCGTGTCAGTCATACAACTCAACAGGTTAAGAGCATCATATCGGTATGATTCTAAGACTTGCTCGAGGTTTTTCAAGGCCGTTAAGCATTTCAATTTACGCAGCAGACTTAGATGCCACCTCACCCTGTGGGCCGTTGTGGATTTTTGGTAAATTGGCAACTTCGCTTCTGATATAATTTTTATTCCCGCGCAATAACTAAAGATGTGTCGCAGCCCGACCGCCTCTTGAATGCAAGAGAGTCTGTACACCTGGTGCTTTTCATGGACTGAGAAGATCTATTTCTTCATTAATTCTCGTCAACGGACATCCCAGTCCTCGTTTCGTCTAAGAGATTAATCCCTGAATCCCGCTTCTCAAAATCGCCGGTTCATGTGACCCGTTCATAATTGCAATCCCGGATCTCGTTCCCTTCTCACTTTAAGTTCCTGGATCCCGGCCTTTAAATAAGCTTAATCCCGGATCCCGAAATACCTACTGGGGACCCTCTACTTAAGTGGTTGTGAAAATAAGGCCTGAAAAAAATCCAGGCCTGTGCGGGATTTGGTGAACCCATGACATCGCCGATACCGGTGCAGTGCTCTACCAACTGAGCTTACAAACTAACTGGGAACTGGTCATCATATTGGTTCGTTCGTATTAAACCCGTGAAGTAATGACTGTGGTATATGTGAACTGCAGTTTAAGAAATAAATTTTAAGGCGAACTTCGCATCAATTGTCAGCACTTATTTTCACTCTTGCTTAAGTAGTGTTCATTACTGCAAAGAACAACAAATGTTGGTAAAATGATTCCAAACAAATAACTCATAGAAATTTAATACGTGAAATGCAAGGCTACTTAAATAACTAATTCAGCGGTATGCTCCGAATGAAATTCATTTTGGTGCACGCGAATCAAAAGCTTCCCTTTACCGACTATACTGCAAAACCCATTCAAAACTAACAAGACGTTTGAAGACCAACGATAATGGTTGGAAAAAAAAGGTATAATACTCAACCAACTTTCTGAGGCCTTGAAAAATAAGCTTACGTACAGCGCAAATGAGGAAGCGTCATTTCTAAGTTATCGCACGAACAAGATTGATCGTTTCCCAGCTAGCCATCGGATGAAGACCAATGGAGAGCGCATTCATCAAGCCTAGAGTCGCTTAGCTGTCTTTCCATTTTAATTGTTTATCGAGTTCTTCACTGAATAAAAGTCATCTTAAAAATCATTACGTAGTTATACGGTTCGTTTTTTTGTTTTGATATCTGTCAATATCTGCATACATTTGATGGGTAAATAAAACATGCTTTCATAAGCTGTCATAAATTTTTCAATAAGGGATTATAACTTTAATTGAATGGAACGCTTCTCGACAACTGATAAAAAGCTCAATTTGCCGCGGGTGCATATTCATATAGGCTTGCGAGAATAGTTTCTGTGTTTCAAATTGCTCGTGGAAAGTTAAGTAACTGCCCAAAGTGATTGTAAATTTAAAAATGGCAATTTGCTCGTGTGGGATTTAGGCTGCTTCATCCGTCTATATTCAGCACCAGCTATAACAATTCAAGAAAATATCCTCTGTGATCGAACGGGCTATTCCCATGTTAAATGCTCCAAAATGAAAGAGATTTACAATAAAAGCTTTCATTAGATCACCTTTAGGCAATTCGTCAACAAAACGTAACATGTGGATCGGTGTTCCGAAAACAACATTCTGATTTTTAATAGGCTAAGAATAAGCATAACGAACGTTAACAAATGATTTGAGAGAAAGCTAATTCAAATGCCTCTGGTAGAGGAACATGTTTATTTTATCGTGGGTGTCGTGGAGAAAATTAGGAAAAGTTCACGAAATGTCAGGAGGTTTCCACATCAGTGAACGGACAGCTTATTTTCAATTGATTAACTTTTAAGGAAGTAAGTCTTGAGTTATAATCTTAGACATAATTGAACATTCATATTTGTCTATGTAAAAGTATACATAAATAGTTTTATTTATACAGTTTTCTAGAGTAATTAGAGTGGTGATGCACAATTCATTCAGTTGAGGTAGGAAGTCTTTGTTCCATTTCAGTCCATTCACAGCAGGTGTGTCGATAATGATAGTAAAA